CAAGCTAGAGAACTGCTGCTTTATATAAATAAGATGTGCCTGGCCGGCATGGTTCAGTGGTTGAGCATCAACCTATGAACCAGGAAGTCATGATTTAATTCCTGATCTGAACACAAGCCCGGGTTGCGGGCTTGGTCCCCAGTAAGGGGCATGTAGGAGGCAGCCGACCGGTGATTCGCTCTCATCATGGATGTTTCCATCTCTCTCCCTCCCCCTTCCTCTCTGAAATCAGTAAAAATAATTTTAAAAAGCAAAGATCTTACCATCCTTGAGCCCAGGGACACATGTCCTGGCATAGAGAGGAGCCTGCTAGCCGGGGTCTCTGATGCAGTGATGTCAGGGTCCCTGTGCGGGCACAGACACGTCACCCTGCTGGATTGGCCCTTCCCTTCTCTGCTGCCAGCTGCATCCCAGGGCGGGCGTGGCACACAGCTCAGGGCTTCTGGGTGTGTCCCATGGCCCTGAACTCCTCACACTTTATCAAAGCGTGGGCCCGGTTTCTTTCCAGTTGATTAATGTTCAATTCTCCGTCTATTATGAACCTCCAGGCTTTAATTACTACACCATTACCCAGTCGATTCCTTGCCATTTGATATTTATGGCTTTTATTATGCCTCTGTCTGTGCAACTGCCTGGTTTTATTCTGGAAGAATTTCACCTCATTAGCTGAGTTTGCACCATTCTTCTCGTTTGTCTGGGTTTTTATTTATCTCGGGGTGTGCTTCCTGCTTTGTGTTTGCAGCAACAGGACCGCTTGTCTGTTCGTTCTGTTCCTGTTTCCCGGGGTGCTTTGTTCCTTTGTCCCAGGACACAGCGCTTTGTACTCTCCGCTCTGGGGCTGGCACGTCTCAGCTGCTGGGTGCCGGCCCTGTCAGAGGCCCGAGGCCTGGCTGGTTGTTAGCCCTGGACAGAGCAGGGATAGCCGCCTCTCGCTAAGTGGCCAGCTGGGTTGCAGGCTCTCATCATTGATGGGCTCAGGGAAGCTGTTCTTTGTAGAAGAGAATTTTCAAAACAGCTGCTCAGCGTTCTTAGCAGTGCTTTGCTGACACTCCCGCTCTCGGTCACCCTGTGCCTCAGGAGAAGGTAGGGCTTGGTTTGCTTGCGTATTTTTAAAAAATCTGTTTTTATTCATGTCAGAGAGGAAGGGAAAGGAAGAGAAAGATAGAAACATCAACGATGAGAGAGAATCAAGGATCAGCTGCCTCCTGCACGATTCCGACTAGGGATCAAGCCTGCTACCCAGACGTATGCCCTTGAGCGGAACTGAACCCAGGACCCTGCAGCCCGATGCTGTAGCCACTGAGCCAAGCCAGCTGGCGCTTGCTTGCATATTTTTTTAATCCTGGACCTGCAGAATCAGAGTTTGGGGAGCAGCCCAGCACTCTGTTTACCTTCCAGAAGTTTTGGACGTTGGTGCCCCATTCAAGTTAGACAATCACTCGTCTAAAGGGACCTTATTGGACCCGACTGGGCAGGAATAATGCTCGCTCCCCCTGAGCGCTGTCTGTCAGAGAGCAAGACCAGTCCCCCCTGTGGCAGCTGGTTTTGTTCTCTGTGGGGTGTTTTCTCGACAACTGTCCCTAGAGCCCGATGAACATCTCGGTAAAGCAGACAGCAACACCTAGAACAAGAGGTCATGCGATCAGGATAGCAATAGTAGACCAGTTGTCTTCAGCATCGATGTTTCTTTCTCACCCTCTCCGTTCATCTCTGGGGATCGAATCCGCAACTTAGGCATGTGCCTGGACCAGGAATCCAACCGTGATCTCCTGTTCATAGGTCAATGCTTGACCACTGAGCCACACCGGCTGGGTTATTTTTCCCTTACAGTTCACTTCTGGTATTATTTTGTTTGGGCACAGTCTTGTGGTTAGACAGGATGTGATTTCACATCCATGTGGAATCTAAAGAACAAAACAAATGAACAAGCAAAACAGAAACAGACTCAGATACAGAGAGCAGACTGGTGGCTGCAGAGGGGAGCCGGGTGGGGAATGGGGTGGGAAAGGTGAAGGGATTAAGATGTGCAGGTTGGCATCACAGAACAGTCACAGGATGTACAGGACAGCACAGGGATACGGTCACTACCATGGCCTTAGCTGGGGATGGTGCCAGGCGGGGACTGGAACTACTGGGGGGTGGTCCGTTGTAAAGCATAAGATTATGTAACCACAGCCCACGTTTATGCCCGGTCCGTGGCGGCCATGAGGAGACCACGATGCTTCGTGACCCTCAGAGTCGAAGCAGCATGGACAGAAGCCTCCCAGGGGAGGGCTGTGGACTCCGGGCCTGGCTCAGCGACACAGGGAGGATTGGCCTTGCCCCGGACGGGAGCGCCTGCAGCAAGGGAGGATGACAGGATGCCCAGGCTGAGAGAGCATGTGCTCAGGGGGCAGGGAGGAGCTGGTTTGAGTGCGGCGGGCCTGGTACCAAGTGTTTAGTGGTCACACCCGTGCCAAACCTGTTCGTGATCTGGGCCCCTGGGGACTCAGTCAGCATTTTTGCAACTACTTGTTTGCATAGCTCCGGCCACTGACCCCACAGATTGCCACTTGTCTTCAGGGACAAATGACATAGGGAGACCCTGGGACATTCGTCCAGGAGGGCCTGGATGTGTAGACTCGCTTCAGTGAGTGGAGGACATGAATCAGGTTCTCTTAGCCTCTGACATGAAATCCATGGAGTTCATGGCGGCCTGGATGTGAAGCGATTGTAAGCTATGACCGGGCGGAAAGAGATTTGGAAATTGAAAATCTCAGAAGTTGCATTCCAGGACCAGCCACAGCTACTCAAAGATCCAAGCACCTCGCCCCTTCCTCTCGTTTCAGGATTTTTAATAGGCTAATAAATACCTGCCTGTCAATCATACCGACTTCCCGAGGATCAGTGGGCAGATATATGTGTATACACCCTGTAAACTGTAGTGTTTTATACAACATGTGGTACTTGATATTGCACCAATACCCATGCTGTGTTCTATAAAGCATGCGGCAGTTACGGCTTCCTTAGGTGTGTGGCGTGTTCTAAGGTGAGTCGCCATAGCAGGTTTTAATGCTCCATCCATCATGGTGTCTGTCCCAGTGTGTTTGCTCTTAGAACCGAAGAGGGAGGGGAAAAATAAAGATGAAAAATAGGCCCTGGTATTTCTAAATGGGACTTTTCAAACTGTTTTAGGCCAACACAGTTAATAGCAGAATGTTGGAATTGAATATTAATTTAGCAGTGCTTTAATTTTTAGAGAAACTACCGTCCAGTGTAAGAACTGTTTCTCATTATAGTAATATCTAATTAGTAGCACTCATCATCATAGCCTTTTCCGAAATATTTCTGCAAGAGTGTTGATTTGAAAACGTGCACAGGCACCTCTGAAGATCTATGTCTAAGGAAATTAGTCCGGGACGAGGGTCTGCTGTTCCTCCGTTGGTGGGTTAACGTGGGAAGATGGATGGCGTGTTAAAGAGTAGAGCAGGGCTTCTCCGGGCTGATTTACATATTGATTACTTAAATTACTCCTTAATTTAGTGCCTGCTAATAAACTGTGCCTTGGAAATGTTTCCAAAGCTTTTATTGGCTGCAGTAATTCTACCTACAGTGTATGCAGATTGCAGCCTCATTAAATATTGATGTGCTCATGAAATGTTAATCGGATGTTAATGTGAGGTGCAGGGGAAGGTGCTGGCTGGGAGCGGGCTGGAGACCACCTGTCTCCTGTCTTTATGTCCTGTCTTCTGCTCTGCTTCTCTGTTCACGGCCCCTCATCAGGAGGCTCATCCTGGATGCCTGTGTCTCCAGGACACGATTTGTCAAAGAGAAGTAGACTCCCCTCGGGTGGGAATTTCATTGTCCTGCCTCTGCTTCCTGAGCTGGGATTCCTGGCTAGGACCAGAAAGGATTCTGTTCAGGAAGGTTGTGCAGGAGAGCCGGGCCGTGAGGAGGAACCAGACTTTCCAGGGCCCCGCCGTGGCCTTCCCAGGTCGGCGGGAGAGGGGGTTGGGATGGAGTTTACCTGCAGTCTCTTCAGGGGTACGCCAGCCCAGAACCGGTGCTTCCCAAGGAGGCTGCTAGGAAGACGTTTTATCAGAACGCCACGGGCAGTTCAGGCTGTGCTCCTGCTGACACTCAGCGTAGTCCCCACACGTGCTCCCCCTTTCAGAACCAGGCGGGGCAGGGCCCTCACTTTTCTAAACCTCACGGTTAGCTTCCGAGTCTCAGTTGTCATTACAAGGGGAGTTATGTCATCACTTAAATAAAGAAGTTCTCTAGACAAAACCAGTTTGGCTCAGTGGATAGAGCGTCAGCCTTCAGACTGAAGGGTCCCGGGTTCGGTTTCGGTCAAGAGCATGTACATTGGTTGCGGGCACATCCCCAGTATGTGTGCAGGAGGCAGCTGATAGATGTTCCTCTCTCATCGATGTTTCTTTCTTTCTCTCTCTCTTCCTCTCTGTAAAAAAAAAATCGATAAAATCTATTAAAAATTTTTTTTCTAATGTACTATTTTGCAAAACTCTCTTGCCCGGGTAGCTCAGTGGTTGGAGCGCCAGCCTGTGCACCAAAGGGTCGGAGGTTCCATTCCCGGACAAGGGCATCTACCTATGTTTCAGGTTCAATGCCCGGCCCTGGTCAGGGCATGTGCACGAGGCAACCAATTTTTGTGTCTCTCTCACATTGACGTTCCTCTCTCTCTCTCTTTCTCCCACCCCCCTTCCACTCTTACTAAAAACAACACAATGGAAAAAATATCCTTGGGCAACAATTAACAGCAACAACAATGGTCTCCTAGGCATCTCTGTAAGCGACAGCCGACAACAGAGCGTCCTCTCCCAGGTGCAGCAGGCTTCGGGAGGTGGGGACGTGTGCGGGTTTTAGGCTCCGCAGTGTGCGCTGAGAACACGCCGAGAGGACAGAGCGGCCCGGCCCCGGTGCCTGGTTTGGTGAGCTGGTGGCTGTTGCTCTGCCCCGGCGCAGCCTTGCCCTCTGTGACCGCCCCTTCCTGCTTGCAGATCGTGCTGGAGAACAGCAGCCGAGAAGACAAGCATGAGTGTCCCTTCGGCCGCAGCAGCATCGAGCTGACCAAGATGCTGTGTGAGATCCTCAAAGTGGGCGAGCTGCGTAAGTACCCTTGTTGCCCGCGGGGAGGACGCTGGGCTGCGGGGCGGGAGTGGCACCCAGGGCTGGGCCCTGGCCCCACGAACAACTCCCCAAGAGCTGCCGGCTCTTCCTGGGGTCACGCGCACCGAACTTCCTTTGGCTCACATTCGGCTTAGGTATCTCTGCGTGTCTGCTCTGCGAATAAATGTGGTTGAAACCTGTAAGGATGGAAAAATGGCAGGTACCGTGACTGAATTTCAAATTTTATAAAAATGAGCATGTATTAAGACAGCCTTGAATTTAGTAGGAAAAAGACCTATGAATTTCTTAAAAAAAAAAAAAAAATCCAGTCTCCAGCCTACCAGAAGAACGCTTTCTTTTCTTTCCTTTGCAGTAGATTTTCTCTCTAAAGGAAAAATGGAGTGCCTTCATGGAATCTCTGCTACCACTATTCCACTTGTGTAAAATGCCTTCTCTAAGAAAGAAGGAATTATTGGAGAAAATGGGTAGCAGCCCATGAAACGTATGGGTAGAGATACGCTTCTTGCTCATCTCCTATTAACAGTTTAAGCGAGAATGCCCACAAAAAGAGGGCATGACCATTGTCTTCCCTGTGCCTATTGGCATAGTTCGGTTTTAATCTGTGAAAGTGAGTCGGGTGGAACCTGGCCGACAATGATCATCAATATTGAGCCTCCGTAAGGTGTCTGCCTCCACCCCCTCCACCACCCCGGAGCTGACACGCACATCAGTCTTCCCCTGTGAGCTCGGTAAAGGGGGCCCAGGGGACCCGCTGGCACCAGAGGAATGCTGGGTGTTTGGTGTTCCTGCAGAAGCGTAAACACTCAGTCACCGGCTGGAGAGCTGAAATGCTGAATGGGGGCAGTTCCGGTGATGCATTGGAAAGGGGGCTGTTTTCCTGGCAGTGTAGAGCTGCCCACAGTATGGCTAAAGGAAACCAGAACATTCAGGGCTTAGCAGGAAAAGACTAAGATGCTGAGCCTGTTTGACGAAGCACAGCAGTCACGCTTCCCTCCGGGTGGGCGGGAAGCAGACACTGAGGGAGCAGCCGTGAAGTTTGTGACTGATGAGCCCCAATGCGGGCCTTTCTCCTTGACTGGAGCAGGCCGGCCTGGGAGAGTTGTGTGTCAGTCTGCGCCGGTCTCTGCTGGCTGCTGTGACATGTCGGTTCACCTGGCCCGGATGTGATGCTCTGCCTGCTCCTCCTCAGACTCTCTTGCTGAGATTTCCATCATGTTCTGCCTGTCAGGGCTCACTGTGGGTTCAGCTGCGGGGTCAAGGTCCTGAGTCAAACCAATCCTACTGAACTCCCTGGCCTACCAACTGTGACTATTTCATGTCAGTCTCAACTTCATGGGAACACTGTGGAAAATTGTGGCTAAAAGAGTATTGCAAACTAAGATCTTTTGAAATTGGAGACTGTCATGCTCTACCCCTCCAGTTTCCCGTCATGCTCTACCCATCATGCTCTACCACTCATCCTGTACCTGTCATGCTTTACCTGTCATGATCTACCCATCATGCTCTTGAACCCTAGTCGGTGCCCATGTTGTCCTTTCCTGCTCCCCCCCTTTCCCATCCTCCCAGAGGGCCAACTTCATCTCTCAGCTCTCCTCCTAGTGGCTACAGAAGGGATGCCCTCCTGCACTTGGACTGCCATACCCAGCTCCCTGCTCTTCTCTGCCCAATGGACATATGTCTCTACTGCTGGAAGTTTACACAGAACAGAGATGGTGGAGGACAAGGGGACCGTCAGGAATAATGGGCAGCTGGGTTCTGCCTCTGCCACTTACCACCTTGACATCCTTGGCTAACATACTCACAGACTTCACTGTGCTCTTACCCCCCACACTTTATACTAATAGTATAGAGTCCTTACTGCACATACTGGATAGCATGTTGTGTTGAGCCAGCATCCGGAGCATGCATATTGTTTACTGAGTCTCTTGATGGCATCGTTTCCTCTTGTGCGTGGTCTAATCTCACGTTGGGTTGGGCAGGAACATGCTGTCAAGCCTGGTAGCCGGGAGCACGAGGCTGAACTGTGCAGCAAGGTGTGTAGTGGGTGCACCATTCAGGTTTGCGAAGTGCACCTTGGATATCTGGTGACAGAATTGCCTGTGGGCACCTTTCTCAGAACGTCTTCATCCTTAAGCACACGGATGTGCTCACCTTGGCTTTTTTGTAGGTAACCTCAGTGCCTGGGGTTGCAGTCAGAGGTGTTGAAGGGGTACCCTGGGAACAGGTAATATTCAACCCAAGGGGACCAGCTTGGAAAAGACGAATTCCAGGCATTATGGGGACAGGGTCGATGTGGATCACTGAGGTCTACCCTGTGGGCAATGTGGTGGCAAAGTCTGCACAGACAGTGAATGTCAGCTCTGGGGTTTAGGAGTTGGGCAGTGGGGTGGGTACAGAGAAGCCCTCCTGGACCCGGGAGAACCTGGTAGTCAAGCCAGCTCCGTGAGCTGAGGTATTAGAGTGGGGATGCAGGCAGATATACTGGGGAGCTTGGCGGGTACCCCAGATGCTGCCCTTGCACTATAGGTTATTCTGTACCCCACCGTCTGCTAGAAAGATGGCTGTCAACACTCGGCCACAGGTCAGCACCTGGCCAGGGCTGGTCTCTGCAGTGAAGCTTAGCTTGGACAGTAAGGCCCTCACATATGCAGAGCAGGTTCCCTCATTCATTCATTTGTTCCATAAAAGTCTGTCGACTATTTATAATGTGCCAGGGACTGATGGACACGGCCGGTGAAAAGGTCAACGAGATATGGTCCCTGATCCCAGAGGCTTCCACTTCAGAAAGTATAAGATCGAGTTGGGACTTTTTCCTATTAGTTGTAAGTCATTTCATATATATATATATATATATATATATATATGTACACACACACACACACATACACATATATGTATGTATATGTGTATGAATACATAAACATGCATGTATATGGTATGTCTATGTCTGTATGTATGCATATGTGTATCTTATATACATATATTGTATATCTATTTATATATACATATATATATATATTTAAATGCCTGTTTTCAGTTCTAAGCCTGGTTTTTGCAGTGTTTTGATAGTTACGGTTCCAGGTTGACCAGTTGCTCAGCATCTATTGCAAAGCCCCTCCCTGGACATTCTGCAAGGCTAATAAAAGACTCGTGTGTCTCTGAGGGCAACATGCCCAAATGAGTTGTTTTCTGCTCATAAAATATTAAAGGGCTGCTACATTTGATCGAGTACCAGGCATCAGATGATGAAACAGCCTGTGGTAAGAGGGAAATTGCTTTTTAATGGATTGCCTCATGCCCACTGCCATATTAAATAAGCTACTAATATGAAAAACAAATCAGAGTGCACCCTTGTGTTGAAGGAGATGTCTATTTTTCTTCTGGGAAAATTAGTTTCATAAAGAAATCCATCATCTTTGGGTTGGGTTGTGTCTGCTCTTCTCCATTTCTAAGTTCATGGTTCTTCTCAGATTTGTGTCAGTAACTGACCCGCAGCCGCTTGAGAGTCTTGGGAGAAGTGACCCAGAAGAAGAGGTACTTGAGTGTGTGGAGTCACTAAGATGAAGAGGAGAGTAGAAGGCAGTTCTAAATGCACGTATGCAGAACCCATGGACCTGGACGTAGTGTGGTGAAAACTGGGGGAGGTGCAGGGTGGAGGGGGTCAATGGGGGACAAGAGGGACATCTGTAATACTTTCAACAATAAAGATGATATTTTTAAAAATCCCAGGCAATAAGAAGCGTAGATGGAAAGACCAGGAGGTGCAGAGAATTCTGCATCCATGTGGAGCCAATAGGAGAATATTAACAATCAGAAACGTGCCAGTCCTGGGCATAAAATCCTAGAATAGGAGTATGTTTTCTGGGTGTGACAAAAACTCGTGAGCATGAGACTGTGCAGGGCCGGGGGCAGGGATGGTCCTGGCCTGGGTACTGTATCCGTCCGGGGCTTTTAGCTGCAGGCAATGGGAATCCCAATGCAGAATGGCCAAAGTGAGAAGAAATCTGCGGAATGTCATCATGTCCGAGTGCGTTGTTGACTGTTCAGTGATGTCATGGAGGACCCAGGGTCTCTCCATCGTTTGGTTCTGCCATCCTGGGGTTGCACCTTGGTCCTGAAGCTGGTAGCAGAAAGTGGCTCCATGGCCCCTAGGAGCAGGGGGCTGTCTTCCCATGAGCCTCCTCGGTTTGAGGAAATGTCTCCAAGCATTTCTCTCACATGGAATTGGCTAGCACCATGGCCTGAGCCCTTGCCTAACCCAGTCACCGAGGAAGGGAATGGAAAATGGAACCTTTGGGCAACAGACTCCCTAGTCTGGAGGTGCAGCCACCTTTCCTGGGTAGATGGCCACGGGAGGGTGGGCTGGTTAAGGAAATCAGGGCTGGTGAAGGCAGGGGGGAAATGGTGCAATTCTGTGCCTTTACTCTTGGCGGTCCCCTCTGCTTTCTGCTTGCTGCTGCAGAAAACCATAACAATGAAGGCAGACCGCAGCCCCTGTCATTTGCCTCTGTTGGGAATTGGAGTAGCGCATTGGTAGTTTTTTTGGGGGGTATTTTTTAGAGTAGCAATATCAGAGTTTGCATAAAAATGGAAATTGAGGCTTCATTGCCAATGCATTTCATTTTTCATTATTAAGGTGCCTGGGGTCCACTCCCCTATCCCCTTTCAGCAAAGGGGCATTCCCACTTGCTCAGCTATGCCTCTGTGTGCGGGTTAATCTCAGGTGTGTTTTGACAGGCAGAATGCACAGGCATTTGCATTTTGTGCCTCTATATTTCTCTGAAACAGTTTGCCATCCTCCCCTGTTTGGCCATGTATAATTAGGATAAAACTTAACAACCACTGCTCAGTTTAAAACAAACAAAAAACAAAAAAACAGGATTGGAAATCTAAAAAATCCTACAGCCTGCCTGAATAGAAAATGTTCAGCATTTCCTTACTTTGTCTTCCAGTGGCAATATTTATTATAACACGCCGAG